TTATCGCAAAGAAAACAAAGTTCGACCACTTCAATAACCAGATTTTTCAGTAAAATTGTTGTCATTTTGGTGAAAATCAAAATTTCGCAAAACCCTTCGTTCAGGCCCTTAACAATACAGTATACTAACTCAATCTTCTTTAGTTTTGATTTCAAATAATCGGTTTGGAAGATATCGTGGTCACCGCAAGAAAAGGGCTGTATTTCCCTCATTATTTAACATTTTACTTTTAAAAAAATCTTGATAATTACATCATTTTCCCGATCCCAACTAGGCGTAAGAAAACAACCACCGAAATCGAGCCAGTTTCTCTGGAGTTGACAATTCTCTGTTGAACTACTTGATCGACGGTGACAATCTTCTCGCGATCGGTCACTATTACATTGATATCTGATTTTCCAGCTTGACTGGGACTGGATGGTTATGCGAACGGTGCGGCGTGTACACACGAACGTTCATACAGCTCACACAGCTGTAGTTTATCGTGCACTCACGTGCGATCGTGAATCATAATGCGTCGCGTGATTACACATTACGCGCCTCCCTATCTAGCCACTCGTAACGCATTACTATCCGAGAGGGTCCGTCAATGCGACGGTGTACTGGATTACGCTTGTATCCGTGGAAATGCTTTATATCGTTCTATACTGCTCGCGTGTACCTTGTCTCTTTTATTCTTTTTTCCCCTTTCGATGGTAAAACACTCGACCTGACCACTAGACTCCTCTACAAGAAATAACTCTGCTTTCGTATCGATTCGACGCCATTTGCTTGGTGCACGGATGTTTCTTGTATACCGGGAAAGAGAATTACAGACTCGGTTGAATACACGTATACATCCATGTATGGAATGTACGGAAAATTGTGGTAAAGTTTGAAAGCTTTCATCTTTTTCTATCGTAAAAATATTTGAAAATTCTGTCAAATTGAAAAGGATGATTCATGAATTAGGATTCTGCTCGCAGACGAAGGTAAATTCCGACGCGAGGATAGTCTGACCAGAATCGACTATACCAGAATCCATCAAATTTATTGTATCAAGTTCAGTAACGTGCGGCAATTAACGGAACCCGTTGGAATTACTCTGCGGACTGTGTTAGCGGATCGCTGATAATAATGCAGCTGCACGAGCGCAGTAATATCGCGTTGCAACGGCACCGAGGAATATTAGCAATACGCTTGTTCGGCTAAGCGACATATATCGGTTGGCAAATAATGCGGATCCATTGTCTATAGATTTTTCGTGACCGATGACGATGAGCCAGACCAGCTGGTACCACGATACCGTGGGAATCGTTTCGACGCGACGCCTGGCCCGCCCGGCTAAATCATGATTAATCGAAATTTCATGGACGTCCGCGTAAGTCGTGAAATTAATGTAACAGTATAATTCGCGATTACGTGTTTACTTGTCTGCGTATTTCGTTCCGCTTGTGTACTATCCTAGAACTGACTCAATATACAACGACCTAATAGTATGTACCTAACATACCATTGCGTATTGCTGAATAAAGGCGAAGGTACGAATATGAGATAGGGTAGAAATATGAGATACAACGGTACGATGATGTACCAAGGTTTTAACCCGTACGCAGTACTTTTTCACAGTGAGTGTATATCAAGTACTTATTATGTCGAATAAAATACTTTCGCATAGCAACCATTTTTTATAGGTATATTGCTTTATTGAACAAACGTTTTACCTTTTGGCTGCAATAGAAGGTTTCTACGCGTGCTTCTTGAACTGAAATTTACTTTGGTCTGTTTTGAGAGTTTTAAAAAAACGAAATGGATAAGTTATACTATAATTAGTATATCAAATTTGTGTTTTGATTATGGTAAATAATAACAGGTAGTGAAATTACAAATTGGCAGAAATATGATATACTTGATTAGTAGCAATATGAGACAGTCTCATGTTATTATCATATTTTTCAATTTATTACTAAATAATAAAATGAACATATGAACACATTGTTGGAAGACCAACGATTTATCCAACGATTTGATAACGATGACCCTACGAACTCACTGCTGGATATCCCACCATTCTATACCAATAATTCGTCAAACTCATTGTCGGATATCCCACCATCCAATACCAATAATTCGTTGAACTCTATGCCGGATGTCCCACCATCCAATTCCGCGATCTCCGACTCATCAGCGACTCAATTGCGTTAGTTGAGTTCGGCGTGTCATAGAGAACAATTCGAATAAAATTTTATACTTTAAAAGCGATCGTTCTTCACCCGGATCCCAACAACATAAAATAAAATAAAATTCTGAAGATTGTAAAGGCGATTTGTGGATTTAACGCCTATCATGCCACTTATTGGCAAAATAACATAAACGCTTCGTTTAATTGTAGCTTTCTTATTACATTTGACGTTCTGTTATGTTTAATTTGTGATTATTAATGTTCTATCTTAGTTTTATAATTTTATTTTTCTCTAAAGTAACACTGTCTCGTATTACTATCCGAATTTGTCATCAATTAGAAAAAGTGAAAAAAAAAACCGAAATTTTGTAAAGTCTATAATACTTATATTTATACAGTACATTCCGTATGAAATTTTCGAAATTTCTGTTTGACTTTTCTATCTATGCCTATTCTGAAATTCTCTATATTTAAAAATAAAATGGTTATTTCATATTCGTACCCCCTTCTCTACTTGAATATAAAAATATTATCGGTACTAATTTCGAAATTTATATTCCCTGGAAAAGATTACAAAGCTTCATCGTTCGTTTAAAACCTTGCCCGATTCCCGGAGGGAGTTTTTAATTAAACAATAACAAATTCTACCATTAAAGCAGAAAATTGAAGTTGCTTCATTCGATAATTCATTAAGCAACTCATTGTGCTCGATTACGATTATTTTTCATCGCGCAAGAATTGTATTCTGAAACGATTGTTCGAACTGTAGGTGAAACAAAAGGTTTAAAATGTGTTTTACATTTTCCATATATTCCCTAACTAGATACTTTTTGCTGTTTTGCTTAAATACATTTCCCTTTTTGTGCTTTTCTAAACGAATCCATAAATTGCCTTCAAACTGAGATCATAATAAACGGTTCGTTGGTTATTTTACGTGACATTGTTTCTTTGAAATATTATTTTAAACTAGCGAACTTTATTATACATTTTTGTTACAATCAAATAAGCAACATAACCTCTCCTTTTGTCGTAATTGAAACTCAACTTTCTTTGTATAAAATTACTGCAAACGAATGCTCGTTGCATTGTGTTCTTTTTTTTCTTTCTCTTAATTTTAATTTGTAGTTGATTAAAATACGAATTAAGTTTGTAAATCATTTTTGTTGCAAGATAGAAACGTTTGTAGTTTTAAACTCACCGAAAGATGCTGGGTGTTGCATTATGTGTTCTCTTGAGAATCATCTGGTAACCAGAAAATTAACACTTCAAGCTCGTAATTTACATTTTTAATTCACTGTCTGTCAGCACACGATGAAAACACTTGTTAAAAAAACACAGTATGTATCTTTATAAGCAGCTACATTCGGTATCGTTATAGCAACTATTTTATTCTTTATAAAATATTCTTTACAAAATATGAAAGAATTCATGAAAAATACATAATGTCAATTTTTGTACAAACTATAATTTTTTAAATAATATAATATATAATATCAAGAATTAAATCTCTAAATTGATTTACGCGGTGGCTTCAGCCATGTTGAACAGCGCCATCTGCGGAACAAATTTGAACATCTTATTGTTCGACACTTTCCGTTTCCGTTTCCGTGTGAGTCAGTGTGTGTGTGTAGCGTTTGCGAAAAGTGGTTGGAGCGTGGTTCAGCTTTGCGTAAGTAACACGAAATAAATTTACATTCATGGCAAAAACGAGCAGTTCCATCAAAAAACGTTGTAAACTTTCTCGTCGCGCTCGTGCACGCTGTTGAACATTCATATTTTCTCGCACGCATGAAATATTCCGTTGCAAAGCTCCCTTTGGCGTGCCGTGGCCCGCGTTACTCTTCGTTCCGCGACTCGAAACAATACAAAGAAGGAGATTGCCGCGTTTGTTTGCCCTCGTTTGTAACGTTTCTCGACACGCGCTCGAATGTGTTCGTAGGATAATAAAAAGTAGTGAAATAAAACATGTTTGATGCGGCGTGTATACGCTATCTAAGGTTAGTGCTGCGCATTAGCGATCTGCGCGGTAGCGTTCTGCGCAGCTATAATTCCCGGTCAATTCAAATCTCTCGAAGCGATACATTTTTGTAACTAACAAATTTTTTATTTCAAACAGTTATCTTAATTATTCTTGGGTTGCAATATGCATATTAGATTGTTTATAGACAATGCTATGCGCATTAACAATAGACTGCATTTTTCTTTTTCTTCTCTCGTCGACAATAGTTCATTTTGAAGTACGTTGGACGCTACGTCGGATGAGTCGATGAAAAATGTGACCACGAAATCGTAAAAACGGACGGGGTTGAAAGTGGCGATCCTTACGGCGCGGCGGCTCGTGTTAAAAGGCTTGAATTCGATTTACGATTCAAAAAATCCGTCTATCTTCCTGGTACACGATTCACCCGCGACTGCCACCAGAAGAATATATACGGGATGGTACAATTTTTTTCTTTCTTTCTTTTTTCATTACTGTTCCCAACGGCAGCGAACGTTTCGTAATTAATTACAGCAGGCTGCGCTCTTCTTTTATCGACTTCCGTTTCGCGAGTGGCTCGTAAAAATTCGTGAGGGTCTGCGTAGTCTTGCCCTCTCTTTTTCCATACTTCGTTTTCCGTTTGCCATCTTTCTTTTTTTTCCTCTGTAGCCGCGTTCTTCTTTTACGATGATAGTTGACGCTTTTAATATTCCATCGCTAAGTCTTCGTCGATTTAAAGTATTCATTTGAATATCGATTCAGTTGAAAATATATTGTTCTTTAATTTCCTTTCCTCAAATACTTCAACCCTTATAAAAAGTCTACTGTTCCTGACACCGAATGGTAACATTTCTGTTTCAGGATCCGACATCAAAGAAGCAGTTGCCATACTGAATTGTCTGTACGCTCGTCAATTGTGCTTCGAGGATCCATCCTGTAGCGCCATCCTGGAGATCATACCAAGGCTCTGCGGTCCGGAGATAGGTGAGTACTAAAACACTTCTCATTGCAATGCTATCGAACGAGTACGGTGAGAAAGAAACGTTCCTGTGGGTCGTCGCCAATTCAAATTGAACGTTTTTCGTTCCCACTTGGAATCGGTTTTCTACCGTACGATTCCAGGTCAGAAACTCACCCATCCACTCGACTGTTTTCCTTGTTTTAAATAATTGCTCTCGAGGGTACGATTGGTTCCGTGGTAGGGCCTCGTGAAGTCGAAAGGTGTCGAGTAGAGGCTGCTTTCCCTTGGCCGATGTAACGAGAAGCGGAAAAACAGGGCGGACCAGAGATACGGTCGACGACCTCGTACATTCGCGCTTATTCTTTGCCACCCCTTCATCTAGCCATCTTTCTCGCTACCTTTCTTTCCTTCTTCTTGGATTTGTATAGCGACTATGGAGGTAGTGTGTTGCGTGTCATAAGACTGAGACTAGAATTAGAATTTCTTTCAAGATTCCCCGTCAATAAGATAACTTTTTGCTGGTAAATTATCGTATAAAATTAGATGTATATATGTATAATTGAAATTTAAAATAAATTAGTTAGATGTCGATATTGACGCGAATGTTCAATTATTTGAAGTCTTGATAGAGCTCAGCTTTTTTCTAGCAAATTATTATATCATGCAGAATCAGGTGTCTAATTAGGATTTAGATTTGATCAATAATCATCCGGTTAATTTCGAGATTTCATCGATGTTATTTCATTATGAGAAACGGTAAATTGATACCATGATGTTACTGGGTATCGTTTATCGAGAACCGATAGCAATATCGAGAATCAATGTAATCTGGATGAAATTTCGGTTGCGGTTTAAGTAATCCGATGCTAATATCTCGAGTATCTCTACTGACCGTTTTATATTTGTTTCGACTTGGATAGCATCCGCGACTTCCGGGGTTCAGTTATGCTGTCCATCACCCCTTAACAATTTCCGATCCGTTATTGAAATTATCGACAGGAAATAACACGATAAAGATCAAACAACGTACAAATTGATGAATTTATTCCTGGAACATCCACGATCCATGATTCTCGATCCATGTACGTGCTGGCCGTGCAAAGCAACTAATCAGTTTCGTTCACAGTGGGATTAAATTAGAAACTTTCTGAATTTTATATCCTCCAATCAAGTCTCCTCGACAGGAGCACTCTATTTTTTCCCCTTGAAGCTCACGGTTTTACACGCGGCTCGAGTTATAACTTGAATAACTGCGTTAGAGGGGTTCACGCGGCAGAGAGTTACGTACGAATTTAACGAACGAGCCGAAAATCGGGGCAAATACACGGCAGCCGAGGCTGTAATGTCGCTGGAAATTAAAACAAACAGCAGTAGCTTAGTACGATAATGGAATTAGATGCGTTCCACTTTAGGAAAAGTGAAATCCAAGAAAGGACGGTAAAACCTGCGTACCTACATGCACGTGTAAGTACGTGTATGTGTTCCGGGGAAATGGGATTAATTTCTGTTTAATTTACCGGGTAAGCGGGACTAGCAAAGTAATATCATTGCGAAATAAGAGAATTCTTTGCAAAGCAAATAGATTAATGCGAAAAGCTTCGCTGCTGAATTACAAAATAATGGAAAGAACGCTGTTCTTTGATTGACGCGTTTTCAATAGATACCTACATCTGTACGTATAAATATTGCTACATTATCCGGTGGGACGTTTTTTGCAGGAAAAAAAAGAAAAATATAGGTAGATAGGTATACGGAATGTGTTTTTTGTCAAAATTGATGTACCATTTTCGAGAACCAAATTGAACGATTCCCAGTGACCGAAATCTTGGTGTACCATCGAGATTTATTATCGCGGACACGATTCGACGGTGAAACTTTTGATGTATCGCGTGTCCGGGAGACCTGGTTCCTTTATAAAACGGGACAATTATCGAAAATACGATGCTGGAAAGAGCGAAACGCGGTGGAAAATATCGGCTGTAGGTACACGTGGTAGCAGCAGTTGTCGAACGAAACGGTTTATTTTCCGGACGGCTGTTTCGACGAATTAATTAACGCGTTTTACTCGCGGTTCGTAGCAAACGCTGGAAAGTCTAGTTTGCCGGAAAGGTTTTTGCCTAGAAATGAACAATTTTCGATTAAGCTGACGCACCCATCTCGAAAGAAATCGTGAAAACTATCGCGTGTACATTTTTCTGCCTCTCGCACGAACATTTTTCATTTTGCGCCTTCTGTTGAGGAATATGTTTCTGCAAAAAATATTCCTCAAAAGCAATTTGCCAGGTTTAAAAGTTGAAACGTTTCGGCTCGAAGGCTTTAACAGAACACTCGTTGGTTATGTTTGAATTTAACTTCATGGGAAGGATCAATCGATGGTTAACTGCGTTGAATAAACTGGAGCGGCGACAAAAACGTCCGCGGTGGTTTTACGCTGTTCGCTCGTACGACTCTGGCAAGGGTGCACAGCTAAACGATCCAAATTTCACGCTTGGTCTCATTTAAAAAGCGAATCGAATTCGGTGTGGTTTTAATTAGAGCGGTTATTTATACGGTCGAGATCTCTTTTATGCGGAGACCTCGGTAAACTCCATCGAATGAAGCACTTATAGCGGTATACAACATTTTTTCGCAATCGCAAAGAGTCCTTTTTAATTGTAGAGCAATGATAATTTTGCTTCCTTTAACCGAAAGGATAAAATGCGCTTTTAACATTTCATAAAGAAAAAAAAATTTTTCTAACTTAAACGGTGTCAGTGTCGGTTAACCAAGAATCTGAGACAACGATCGTAGAGAATCGGAAACGCGACAAGTATATCGACAACTTCCGGCTGACCTATCTCTAGCAGCCAAAATTTCAGTGCACTGGGAACAGGAAAGCTCGTGGGTCGATATCCCGATTCGTGTTCCGGGAGCCGTGCTGTTTATGGACGGCTGATTATGAGCTCGATGAATGTTCATCGGCCAATCCGAGGAACGAACAAACGTGTGAATAGTATAAACGCTGGAATATTGCGCCACCAGAGAATCGTAATTTCAACGAAATTTATAATAATCCGGATTGTCGGGAACATTAACTTTCTGTGTAGCTAAATAATGATTTTCTAATTACACGATGGAGAAACTGTACTTTCGAACGAACGTGGAACACGGTCTATAAAAATGGCAAAGCGAATGCACGCGATAAAAAGAGGGAGAAAACTTGCCGGTTCCTTTTCACCCGAATTTCCCAAGAGTATTCAGAAAATTATCAGAGATCCAGAATTTTCAGGTTGAAGAATTTACGCGAACCTCTCTTTCCTATCTGCAGAATCTAGCAGTTTCGATGTCTCCAAATTACAATAAAATATCTCGGCAAATCAATCGGATTGAAATATGGTTTTTATAATATTATTCGAGACATTTGATTGGCATGTCGCGTATACAGACCAAATTGTATTGACAGTTTCTTTGATAACGAGTAAGTAGAGTAAGGTTGTTCAAGTCGTATCTGTTCCTAAATCATACCTTTTGAATTTTGAATTCAATACGATGACAACTACGCAAAAGAAGTAGTCAACAAAAAAGTACCTACATTAAAAATGTTAAAAAAGAAAACCAATGAAACTGACACTGATTAGTTTTGTAATATTTGTGCAGAAGACCGGGAGGAAAATATGATTCGATGCTTGAAATGTAAAGCATGGGTGCATGATTTATGCGCTGGAGTTAACAAAAGAATAAAGAAATATGTGTGTGATGTTTGTACTAACTGAATATGTAACATATGTAAACAGATTAATAAAGAAATAGGTTTTAATTATTATTGTTGCTTATAGGTGGTACCGCCATAAATTTTTAAATATTTAGTTTATTTTATGTAAAATCATACAGAGTTTTGAATTTTATTATAATAAATAATATCAATGTTCACACAAGTTTTGAATAACACATATAATTTTTATTTATTTGATAAATCCTAATATGTATACGAGTTTCTTCTTAAGGGGTACGATTTGAGCAACCTTACCCTACATAAGACGTAGGCAGAGGTAAAAGACGCGATTCAGAGGATATCGAACGATGCGGATGATTTTCCAGATCGTTAACATCTCCTGAACAGCTGCACGAGGTGGCGTAATCTTATCCGCAACCCCTATTTCCCGCGCTAGTACCCCATACGATGAATATTGTCGACCATAGCGGACCTCGATTTCGTCCGAGCCTTATCGATGAAAATGATTGCCGCGCGCTAGAAAATCCTTCGGGATATCATGCTATTATTTCGTAAACTGTCCTAGTATTGATTACACTTTTAACTCATATTATTTCTCAACAAACTAAGAAAATTATTAAAAATCTGTCCGTGTTAGTAAAGTGCCCTTTGTCCAAAAGTTCCAAACAACGTAAAGTTATATGCCCGTTACGATGTTAGGGTACGCTCGAAAGCTTCTTACATATCAACATTCGAGTCGACACGAAGGATTCAGTTTCCATTTTCCTGTCCAAAGTGAAATTTCGTGAGCGTACCTTTGCAGTTTCCCGAGGGTTGTGCGCTTGACAGGCTAGACCCGTTAGAGGTGGCTTGTCCAGAGAATCGGTTTCAGGATTTCGTGGCTTCTACAATTGCCGGACGGTGTACACGAGAATATTTCTAAAACCATCAACTGGCTTATATGTATGTAATGATTGTTTCGTCCGCAGACTCTTTTCGAAGCGAGACGACAGTATCCGTGGTTAAAATACCAGTCGCGTTCGTGTGTATCTCGTGATCTCGAAGAAGGGTTGCTCCTAGGGGATGAAAAGGGAACCGAGCCAGACGAGAAACGCTCCAAGTATGCAGGTATCCGAAGTAATAACGTGTCGGCTGGAGGATACGGTAGCAGGGGTAGGACTCCCTTATTAAAAGGCTCTTTGGTGCCACTTTCGACCCCGCCACTACTTATGCTCGTAAATAACGAGCATCCTTGCTAGACACCATCGGCTCCTGGAATATTTTGTTCGGTACAACGTGGACCAACAGGTTCACAGTTGAGCTGTTGTTTTT